TGTAGCATTCCTCCGAATTCCCATTTTCCCAGCAATTAGGAAAATGGCAAAAACATCTCTTTTTTTAATTGAAATGACTAAGGGTAATCAAAATGAGAATAAATTAAGATGGATGTATAGGTAGTTCATGTTTAGCAAGCACCTTGTATAGTGACCATTCTCAGTTATGATGGTGATAAAAATGTAACTTCCCAGCCAATTTTTGCATTTATAACCTTCATAGGTCTTCAAAGCAAAAGAAACTGAAGTAAGATTAGATAAGCACAATTATAGTTTCCAAGCTTCCAGCCCCAATTGTGGTTGCTTAACAAGGATTCTCTGTAGTCAAGATGAAGACTAGATTGGGATTTAGCATGTTCTAGAAAATAATGCATTCTGCCTGAAAAAGCTGTTTGTAGCTAGCAACTCCTTCATGGCCCATTGAAGTCTTCAGAACTTTAGCTGATAGTAGTTTTAACTGCAGGATTGGCATAATCAGGGGTGGGATTCAACCGTGTTATTACCAGTTCGGTGATTATGTTTTGCGTGCGCATGCGTGCTTTGAATGTGCGCATGCATGTACACCACCTAAAGCTGTGCCGCCTGGACAGCTGATAAGCGCTCCGCAGCATTTGAAAAAGCACTTTTTTACTGCTTTTTCGATCTCAGCTGAGGTTGAAAAAGCAGGAAATAAAGATCAGATAACAGTCCGGGCGGGCAGGTGGGCCAAATAGCAGCAGACACAGAACCTGTTCTATGTCTGCTGCTGTTCAGAGCTACCAGTTCTATAGAGCCCAGCAGAACTGGTAGCATCCCACCCCTGGGCATAATTATATTTACTACATAACCTGTAGGCTTTTCAAAAGCAACCTGATATGGTAACAGCTGTAAATGCCTTTGCAACATGTAGCAGCCATATTGCTGATTGATATATCCTATTGGACTATACCATTTTGACAGTGAATGATCTACACTGATTACTGTTCAACAAGATCAGGACCAAGTGTTCATGTTACCGTTCAATTTGGTATTAATATATGAAGCCTGTTTAGTTATGTGAAAAATAAACTCAGACAGATTGTAAGCTGCCCAGAGTTACCCTATGATAAGATGGGCAGCCAATAAATTTAATAAATAAAATTCAGAGATGTCTCATCAATATAGGAAGAATATGCTTATAATCCAAATTGTTCAGCCTTTAAAAAAGTTGTCAAATATTTTTTAATTTAATTATTTAATTTAATTCTTTTTAATGTTCTTTAATTCTTCCTGATATTGTTTAGATATTGGTGTTCTCTCTCTCTCTCTCTCTCTCTCTCTCTCTCTCTCTCTCTCTCTCTCTCTCTCTCTCTATATATATATATATATATATATATTAGATATAATATAAAATATTGCATGACGGCATCAAAACTCTACAATTCCTTCCCTCTCTCTACATGGACAGCTTTTTCTTTACTATTTTTTAAAGAAACAACTC